ATCACCAATGGAACCACGTACTCCAATAAATTAATTTTGCTTACAGATTTATGGCCCCACCTTCGATGCTGACCTGATCCAATCATTTCAAAACCAGGAAGATATAGTATGAATATGAGTATTATCTATGTGCGCACTTAAATAATTAAGTTTCCGGAACCATTTTCCATATATATTTATATCTATAAGAAGGAAGAAGCACCCTTATGACTTTGTGCAACAAAACAGGTTCAATAAGATAATCCAATTCTTCTTTTCTAAGAATGGGTGATAATGTTGCTGGTGCTTCAAATGATGATGGCTACATCAAAGAGCAAGACCGGTTATTGCCAATAGCCAACGTTGGGCGGATCATGAAGCAGATTTTGCCTCAAAATGCAAAAATCTCCAAGGAAGCTAAGGAAACAATGCAAGAATGTGTTTCTGAGTTCATTGGCTTTGTCACTAGTGAAGCATCTCAGAAATGCAGAAAGGAAAGGCGAAAAACTGTGAATGGAGACGATATCTGCTCGGCTATTGGAACTCTAGGTTTTGATGACTATGCTGGGCCACTGAGAAGATACTTGCAGAGGTATAGAGAGGTAGAAGGAGACAGAGCTAATCAAGAGAAGGGCGGCAATAGCAATACTGAAGACAAGGAGGAACCAGCATCTTCATATGGAACTAACCAGCCAATAAATCAAGCTGGTAGATCCAATTTCATCTGAGTTCAACATAACTGGCTACAGGAGTAATAGCTCCAGTTCAAGGCCATTCAATTAAGGTCTTTGAGTAGGTATGAGAGATAAATCAAATTATCTCAAGCTTTAAACATGAATAATATACTACTTAACAAGCTGGTAGATCATGGTCTATTTTGCCTCTTTTGTTGGTAATCTTATTCCGTAGCTACGATGTCTTCCTGTCATGGCTTTAATTTTTAGCCCTAAACCCCCCAGTATTTTCCTAGGATTTCCATGGTGATGTTGCTAAGAAATTAATTTGTGTTTAGGAAATACGTGGGGAAATTTTAAGTTTATAGCTGATGCATTTATTTCTCTAATATAGAGAGGATAACAAGGTGTTTCAATTTGCCAAATCAATGAGCTAGCAGCAAGGAAAGGGAAGATAGAAGGTTAGTATTTAGTAACTCATGTTGAATGTTCATTGGGAAATTTGCTTATGTTTAGTTCTGATTAGCAGTTCATGTTGATGACAATATTTAATTTTGTTTTCATGTCCGAGTAAGTACCACATGGGAGCTTCTTCTTCTTCTTCTTCTTCTTCTTCTGCACCATTTCTATCTCCTTTACAACTGGCACCAGATATCACCAACTCTAAACATGGACTGTAGTTCTCTCTTTTCCTCTATACCATCTTCTTGCCAAATTAGTCCACATATCATTGAAGACTATGTATTAACTCTTAGATATTGACGTGTTTAGAGTATCCAATCTTATCTAGATACAGAGTTCCTTTACCCCGCAATTTCAGGACCTAATTGGGGACCACCATCCATCCTATAGCTAGGACTAAGATCTCTAGAAAATATGACTCAAAAGTTTATGGGATTAGAGATTTGAAAAAGGTTAGGGTTTCCATAGTTCCCATCTACATAATGGTAGTTTTGGAGTTTATGGGTATCCCTTACATTGTTTAAAGGTTCCACTGGGAATTATGTGCTTACCCCACATGAAAACATGCAATACTGAGACAGAATAGGAGACAAAAAAGCTATAACTACCTAGAGAACATCCACCATCATTTAAAGTTTCCGTACAATTGATGGTCTTCCTCAAGAAGCATATAGCTGTTTAGTTAGGAATCCCCCAACATCTTAATTGGAACCAAACAAACAAATCTCCTATCTGTAGTCATGCCTCCTTGCCATCACACAGCCAAAAGGCAATTTTCTACCTTTCCTGTTGGTTGAGAATGGAGCAGAAGCAACCTAGAAATTCTCATTAATTAGACAACTGTCAGCTTGACATCTTGTAATGTGTCTTAATGTGCTTTGAAGCCCCTTGACAAAGATGCAATGCCAGCCATTTTTCACAGTTCTTAGAATATTTTTATATGATAGGAATTGAGTTCTTTTTCCTTTCCCTCCTCCTATCTGATGTACAGACTACTGTTGCAACATTCTACAAAAGTTTGCAAGTTCATTTTGCTTCTTTCTGTGTTTTAATTAAGATAGATCATGTCTTTGTAAGATTCTTCTAAATCAGTTTTTTGGGCAGAACTATACATATATGTACATATCTATGTACGTATATATGTAGGGCGCTTCAATTTTTCTTGAGTGTTCTCTTGTATGACATACTAAGGAGGTGGAAGATAATAACTATGTGGGAAAGCAATAAAAATTTTCAATTCCCTTTCATATAGATAAGGCTGTTAGCTAGAGAATCATTCACACATTCTGTTTTAAGTATGTATTGCCGATTATCCCCCAACAAATTAAAGTGTAAAGCTCCCTAGTGAAGATACTAGGTAATATTTTTTGGCCAAAATATATGTATTGATTTTGAAACTTGCTTTTGTTGCTTTCTTGATATGTGTGTATGGAATTTTTATATCTTCATACTGTAGTTTTAATTCGTTGGAGAAGATAAAAACTTCAGTTTTGATCTATGATTCAAAGCAATAAAATATTGTACATCCACTTAGGAGTGGAATTGGGATTAATTACTAAGTAGGGTCTATTGTATTTTTACATTAATAAAGTCAAATTAAAAAACAGTATGTATTATTTTTATTTTAATAGGTAGCACTTATAAATACAAAATTTTAAAATTATAAATATTTTTTGGGAGAGGATAGGGCTTGTGCCTAACCTCTTTTCCATGTAACTCCACCGATGCATCCACTAATGACAAAATCTAATCCTTTGTTAATCCTTAGCTTAGATATAAGATATGTGTTTTTGACTAAGAGGAGATAGTAGAAGTTCTAACAGATAGCAAACATATTAGTCTTTTCCCTTCTAAGTGCTTAAGCAGTTTCTGAAGCAATAAATGAAATAATAAACGATATGAGATGAAACACCTAGCATAGACTGCTTATATATTTCTTAATTGTTAGTT